ATAATATAATAAAATACATAAAAAATAATCAAACAAATTTTTTTAGAGATTGGCAATTCCTAAATTACAAAAAAGCACCAACCATCATTTTGAACATACAGCCATCAAGTTTCCTGTAGTGAGACAACATGCAAATACTCAGAATTTTAAAGTCTGTTTGTCAGTGCTGGTGAAGAAAACTAGTGAGTTCCAGATAACCTGCCCCTGCTTCTATCTACAAGTCTTCAATAGCATCTAAGCATTTAAAACTATTTTCTACAGAAACAGCTGTATCACAAAAAGTTTTCAAGGTTTTGTACCTATAAACTGTAATCTTAAAACAACTGATTTATGCTTACAGTTTTGGTCAAATATTCTGGTCCAAAACAACACTTGGTTCCTACTAGTTACTCAAGGACGTCTAGAATAATTAATGCCAGGAGTAGAATTAATGACATTATGGATAACACAGCATCACACAGCTGCAGACTGTCACAGCCAGACATTTGGAAACCAAGAAGCTCTTGACAGAAAATGGAGTAGTGAACTTTGGCAGCAGATTTTTTAAAAACTCAGGTTTTATCAACTACTAATGCTTCTCAAAACACTGCGTTAGAACTGTTTCTCTGACTTTCTTTCACTGAGTAAAGGTGGGAGTGAAACAGCAAAAAACAATTCAATAATCCAGAAGCCAATATCTGAATTATGAATAGAACTGTTGTGGTTTAAGCCCAGCCGGTAACTCAGACTAAAGTCCAAAACACAGCACTGCACTAGCTACTAAGAAGGAGAAAAATAACTGTTACAGCTGAACCCAGGACAATAATGTATATCCCTTTTACCAATATTTTATAATTATGAATATACTCCTTATGGGTCCCATCCAATTTGAGAGATACTATGATAAGAAGCTAACTTCAAAAGCAGCATCTATCCTATTGTAGCATCAATCATAACAAAAGACACAATGCACACCAAATATTGTAAGATATACCCTCCAAATCATTACCTTTCTGTAACAACATTTGCTGCACATTGTTCTCCAAGATTTTCTACGAAGGCATGCACATCCTGAATAAGTCTTCAGAGACGAAAGAAGACAAAGCAACAAAATTAGCAGAATACCAGACAAAAACTGTTTTCAATAGTTATCTCAAAATTTAAAAGTGCACAAAATTGTAACAAGCATAATCACAAAGATGTTTTTTATACCTCTGATCTTTCCTAAATACAGTTCCAAAGACACAAGCCTCAGTGACAAGTTCACAATAATTTCCAGCATTTAAGAAAGCATTTGTCAAGGCCTTTCTCTCATCAACAGTGGGAAATATCCAAGATCGACAACAATGACTAAGGACTACATTGAAGACTCCAGTCTTTGTAGTGGACATATCTATCAGCTTGAAAATTATCTGAAAAGAAGAAAGAAAAGATTTAAAAATTTAATTTTCAGAAGTACTAGAATTATTAGAATACTACTGCAGTGATATCTATTTTAACAGGTCTGATCATCTCTGCATTCTGTCTCTGCTCAGGTTAATGCTGTCTTGAATCTATCTACAACTCCCTGATTATAAGGCCAGGTGAATGGGCAACAACTGGCCCAGTTATATGATTAAGTTAAAAGATAGAACTGTTCTTTGCTTAAACAGATATAGCACCAGCTGCTTCACACAAATCTCCCAATAACGGTAAAAAATGCTACCTGGGCTTACTTCATGAGTACAAACCTGGTGTTTTCAATCAATCCTTACCAACTGAGAAAGAAAATAAACTTTAAACAAAATTTCTTCCATAGGTAGCCATATAACTAACTCCCTTCTTTAATGAGGGTAACATTCATGTTGAAGTTAAAAATTTGTATTTGAGTTCAAGTGGAAAAATGTGTTTGTCTCATTTATTTTTTATCTTTGAGTAGGGCGTATTTACGATACACAGAACTGCTGCCTAGAACTTCTCCAAAAAGAGGAAAAAATAAAACAGAACAAGGAAAACGGCTCCCAAATTCTCCTTTCCTACTCCCGTCACTGGGCTAAGTCCAAGAGTAAACTTCAGTTACAAAGTAAATTTTTCTAAGAAATTGAAAGCATTTTGGAGAGGACAGGGAGATTCAGAATGAATAGGAGGGGATATTTATAAACTCCTTTATAGACAACATCAGTTAGAGCTGTCCAGGAAAATGGTTTTCCAGAAGGTATAACAGCTCTTTCAAGACAAAACTGCTTCTCCTCCCCACTCCAAAATGATAATGTGACAGTTCTTTGACAGTAACTCAGTTTTTATAGAGAAAGTTGTTCTGCATTGCTGAGGATTAAGGTACCAAGAAGCTCAAGAAGAGCTTAAATTGAAATACTGGAATGCACTCTGAAGAAACACTTTCTGGGAGAATAAATAAATCAATCCTAGAAACATTTGGTCTGTTAAAAAGAATTCAAGCTTTTCTTTTAGTACAAAGACACACATTGTAACTTTCCTAATAATTCCAAAATTGAACTATTGTGTTTCATGTGGAGGGAAGCAGAATGACATTTATACACATTTCTCAATCCTGGAACATCTTTCAATTGTTTCATTAACATAATACAAGTCCAGCACATACAAAAGAAATTTAAGTTCTAGCACAATTAACATTCAAATAAGCACAAAGGAAGAGTGCAGCAGAAGAAATAAAGCCTAAGAACACAGTGCTCTGGGCACCTCTGTCAAAGTCCTTCTGGATTTTACCATAGTAATAGTAATTCCCTCCTTTGGCTCAACAATACCCCTCTGTTACACCCTTTCTAAGGATTAAAAAGACAGAGTGCACTGTTAAGACGAAATTAAAATTATGCTTCTGTGACAAAAAAGTAGCAAGGAGTTTCATTTTTTCTTTCTGTTTAGCTAAAACTATACATTGACAGGGGTCAATGGCAACAGAGACTGCCAAGGATTGGGATAAGAATATACATAAGCAGGCACTTGCTTGGGAACTTTATCTTCATTTTCTTATGAAGGGGCAGAAGGTGGCTCAACCAGATGCCCTTTGTTGAGTACAGGAGACCTTCCTTAGCTCCTTGTTGCCTGCTGTCATGGTATGTCCCACTGCAGACAATGGGATAGCTGTCACACAGACTCAAGACGCTCAACATTGGCAAAATACATCTTACATAACGCTTGAAATACTAACACCGATGTTAAGACAGTAGTACTAAGAATTTAAACAAATGTTAAGATCAAAGAAAAGCAAGTTCATCAGTTACAACAATACTGAGCATACAATTAATTTATTAAAAGAAAAAGCTAACTGATTCCTAGAACTGACAAAGTACTTTAACATCTTTGCATATGTATCTTAGCTTGTGTCCATATGAAGACTACAAATGCAAAGTCTTATCTACTGCCAGAATACATGACAGTAACAGTTGTTTGAAGCAAGTTTTCAAAAAGAACAAAGAAAACAAACAGGACTACATTTTAAGACACTGAAGTTTGATATGGAAATATCACAGCAATTTTAGATACGGAGTGTCCATTTATCTATATTTCATTAAAAATGGACACTACCTGTTTAAAATCTCCTTGTATTTCAGCACGTGCTGAAAAGAAAGCTGGGACATTTGCTAATTTTTACAGTTACAAGCGTGACACCAGGACAGAGCTACTTATGGGGACTTCAAAGCAAAACTGCAACCCCTTTTAGTATGATTTCCATGCCAAGTACAAAGCAGCAGGTGACCTAAGTCTGAGCATACTAGTAACTAACATATAATGTATTACTGCTTTGATGAAATACTTGCAGTCATTGCGGACTGTTCTGCACAAACACTTAGTTGATGCTCAGAGAGGGAAAAGGCAAAAAACAAAACCAACCAAAAACCCCGAAACCACCCAAGAAAGATTATTTAGAAAAGAAATAGTAAACAACTTTCTAGTGTATAAAGCCAAGGTGAACCAACATCTTAATACTGAATACAGTTTTAGTGACTTAAAATGAAAAAAGAACACCCTGACATACATGAGAACTTTTGGAGTACAGGAAGTTGCATGCATCTTACAAAGATGTAAAGATTCATTTTTTTTTTCTCTTGACTGTGGAGGCAGCGCTACCATGTTCTACACCTGGATCCTCAGAGGATTAAAAAAAGCTTTTAAAGAACCAGTTAAAGTTGTCTTATTCAACAGCATCTATGGTAGTTTCCAACTTCATTTAAGAAAGTATTTTCATAAAGACTAAACTATTAGAAAAAGGTGTATTTTTTCTAGAATATTAATAGTTTGTGACAGTTCAGGTGGCAAATCCTGAACCAACATTCAAGAGGAAGTGCATAATGTAAAAATAAAACAAGACTGAAAAAATTATTTTCACAATGCAGAAGATATTGAACAGTCTAAAAAAACCAATGAAATGGTACTTTTAATTTTCTGTGTTACAAAAACAAACAATAGATTTGTTTATCTTCAATTTAACTCTCAGATCTTTTTTCTTAACACTCTCAAACTAACACCTTTTTTTAAATGATAAATTCACAACAATAGCCGAAGGGGAAATAGAAGGTAAAATACATTTTTAGATCCAGATAAAATTTATGTTCCCTTTCCAAAAAAGTATTCTTTAAACTGACCTCCTTTATTTTGGCATATGCTTGACCCTTTGCACTTGCAGCAACAGCTAGAACCTCAGTATCAAAGATGAACTGAACAAAAGCTTTTAGATTGGACCAAAATATCAGCTGTGTATTGCTCAAAGAAGATACAATTTTCCAAGCCAAATCAAATGCTTCTATGCAGAGAGGCTCCGAGGAGTCCAGAAGCTGAAAATGAAGAGAAGAACAAAGTGTTATACCTGACAAAAACCACCCCCAAAGCTATTACACAGTACTAGTTTTATGTTTTGTTGTAGTTTCATCTTTTACCTTGGGCACAAGGACTTTCATGCAGTCGAACACAGGTAAAACTTGGTCTGAAGGAAGAATAGTTAGGGCTTCTAATGCAGACTGCAGAACTTCTCTTGACCTTTCAACTGTAGATAAGGACATTTCTGAAGTTTCTTTATGCTCCTGAGCCAGCGTAGGAAATGAATTTAAAACAAAACGAAGGCAAATCCACTGGTCACGAACATAGCGTGCAACAATTTTCCCCCATCCTTGGGATGTTGTTTCTTCACATAAGCTGTAAGAAGAATGTAAAAATATTATTCTTAAATATATATATTGTATTCATTTATCCTGCATGTTCCTAATCCACCAGGAACAGCTTAACGGTACAAACTCATTATACTTCAAGACACTAAAATTGACACAGGGTCAAGAGGAGACTGGACAAGTTCATGGACGAGAAATCTACAAAGTTCTTTTGAACAAAAGAGAAAATGCACTTCAGGGTCAGTCTCATCAGTCATAAACATCTGGGAGAGTATTCAATGGAAACATCACTATATGCTGGCCATCTCTCTTGTATTTGGTATTTGGCCCTCAGGCTTGCCCTGGGCTTCCCTTGCCCAACAGTAAGTAATTTCCATTTCAACTTGCTTGCATACATGTTACAGCTTTGTGTAGTGTGTATATATTCCATATAACATAAGGATAAGCAATGTTCAAAGCTAGCTCTGGCTTCATATCATTAGAGGACTAAGCAAAAGAACCTTTAGTCTGATCAATTATGGATGCTTTAATGTTTTAACACCTGAATGTTAAGACAAAAGAGAAACTGAATGAATAGTTTGCATTCAGAATTCTTCATTTTTATCTTGGCAAAAAGTTACCAAAGAAAACAACAGGAAAAACCATAATCTTGGTCACTGCTCCACATTAACCAAATGTGTTCTGGAGAATTACTGAAGCTATAGCACAGACATACCTACTTTCTTCTCCAATATAAGATGGCTTCTTTAACACATCATTGAATTGCGAAAAGGAAATAAATCTCTTCAGAGCATCCACAGAAGGCAGAGAGTCAAGGTGTGCTTCACGTTTCCGATCCATTAATTCACAAACTGCCGTAAGTGAAGCCATGCTAGCTACTTTTTTAATTTGTTCTTGAAGCTTTGGCTCCTAATTAAAACCATATCATAGATGAACAAATATGCACCAGTTTCTTCTAATATGATAAAAACAACCTACTGATAAATTTGATAATCCTCCTACTTGTCCCACTGTAGACATCATAAGGTAGCAATTCTGCATCCTTCTACTTCCTTATTTTCTTATCCTAAGCATAACAGCTTTGCTTGGCTGGGTCAGTGTAATCAATCACAAGTTGCAAGCATTGACAAAAATATAGATCTTTCAAATTACAGCCACTTATTCATTAAGTGCAGCTGTGTAGCTTGACTATGATGGAACACTTGTACCTTGCCAGGTAGCAGTTTATACATATTGCTGGATAGCAACTAGAAAAAAGATGCGGGTCCACATACTCAGAAACACAATGCAATAATACAGTTGAAATTCAGATCACCAGGTGCTAACTGGTCCAAGAAGCTACAAGGGCACAACACTTACTATGGTTATTTTGTGTGATACATATATTCAAGCATGAAATAGAGAGTCAGAGTCTCAATTAAAAAAAGCCAATAAACATCTAGTACCCTTATGGTATTAAAAGCTCAATGTTATTTGAAACTACTAGGATTAGAACATAACTCATATAAAGAAGAACAAAAAATTAAGTCTTGCTCTTTGTTTCCTTAGAAAAGTAAAATTAGCAAATCAAATACTAACAATCTTACTGTGTTATTAACTGTTCTTGATCAATAATTCAATGCAGAAAATACCAAACATTATACCCAACAAATCTCAATTTAAATCTCCTCCTTTTATAAAAGTTAATGTTTCTTTAACTTTTGAATATATATCCATTTGACACATACTAGCCTAATACATACAACTACGGAACAATGAGCATAACTATACACAAAAGATAAAGTAATTCTGGGTTCTGGAATTTCTTTTTCTCTGTATGTTCCAGTTTGGAATTCAACAGAATTATTTTCATTTAACAGTAACTTCCTTGGGAAGATTAGTTTGTATTTGAGGAAAAAGCTTCTGAGTACACGTAGTCCATTATTACAACTAAGTTTTACTTTAGCTATACAGACTTTTAAAAACTTAAGGTAAGGAAACAAGAGTGCTACAAATCTTAGCCACAAATATTTTACATTAACAGTACAATGCCAACTAAAGACACATATGTGTTAGGGAATATACATACAAACATATATATTCACACAAATTTGTTATTATTTCATAACATATATACTTATAATAAATATTAATATTTGTAGATTGTTGTATTTACCATATTGCTATGCAATTAGCTCATATAATAGAAATATCCTGCAACCATTACAAAAATATGTAATTACTATTTACTGGTTTATTTTATATTAATATTTACTGTTGTAAATAATGTTAAATTACCTCTTCACAATTTCTCTCTTGAAGATTACGAATAGATGCATTTGTCAGGGACATAATGAAATTCTTGATATATGGTACTTTCTTCCAGCTGACTTGCAAGCACAGATTCACTGTCTCTGGAATTAAAGCTAAGTATAGATCACAGCGATCCAAATCACCAACCTGAAAGAGGAAACAAAGGTAAACTAAAGCATTAAGAGGAGGAAACTTAAGCTGAAATGAAAGAAAACCAATAGTAACAATGACAGCAGAAGGAAAACAAGAGCAGTCAGTGCAGCTGAACAACCTTTCCCTAACTTTGGGGGGGGTTTGTCATTGTTAGGGTTTTTTGTTGGTTTGGGTTTTGTTTGGTTTTTATTATTTTTAAACCTTTTCAACTTATAGGTTCTTTTAGTTTTAGGGTTCTGGAGCATGCCTTAGAAGAGACACTATGAAATTCTGAAAGAAATCTCCACTTAATTGGTAACTTCACTTAGCTTCCCTTCCTGGGCCCAAAGTAATGCCATGTAAAAACACCAGAGTTGGCCTGAGTATCAGTGGCATTCAAAGGAAACTCAGTTATCAGATCACAGCAGAGCACTACACCCTGTAAATACACAACAGGTCACCTTACACTTCTTGCCCACGACATTTTTAATCTTGGCTGTATCTTATTTGTTTTATAGCTTTTTATTCTGCTCTTGTATTTGCAACTCTTCTTCACATATAAAAAAGACGTATAAAGCTACTCACTCAAGGAACAACATGAATAAAGAACTATTCCTTCTGTAGTTTTGAGAGAAAATACACCTTTGAATTGCCACTGGCTTTTAGGCACCATTCTCCTGCATCAACTCTAACTTTTGCTTTGACAAAGAACCACTTTTCACATCTATCTTCCATGGCACTCAGGTTTTGGGGACTGTCCACTAGCATATTCATTTGATATGAAAATCAGGAACATTGGTTAATCAAATTAACAAGCAAAAACCACACCAAATTATGTCTCACAATAATTCCTTACAGTGCTTAACTCATTTGCAGTAAGCCGTCGGAGAACAAATTCAAGAATACTCTCCACAGGTGTCGTAAGAGATTTCCAGATAAAAAACAATACACCATCTGTGTGAAGAGAGAAAAACACAATAATGTATTAACATATAGAAATACAATTTCCTCGTGAAATTTATTGTATCATGCAGATTTAGTTAAGTTATACAGTAATACCTACCCAAATATCTAAGAATACCTTAAAACAGCTCTGTACTCTTCAGCAATAAAAGACACAGGGCTGAAATAATCAAACCAGACTGTAGTCTTTTCTGAGATTTATCTTGTATTAGTGAGCCAGAAAGCACACAAACGCAGAAGACCAAAGCATAATTTTCCAATTTCTGATGCACATTCACCCTATTCTCAACCTTCTGTGCAAAACAGCTTATTCATGAACTTACTCTTTAATAAAGAAGTTTCCATATCCAGCAATTAATTTTATGTGAAAAAAATAGTTACGTATTTCCAATATGTACAGATGTGAAAACTGTGCTGTGGTTGTTGGTTGGTTTTTTTTTTTTTTGCCATTTAGCAATAATTCGGCTTTGGATATGGAGTAATCTTAAAAAATTTCAGTCAAGTAGCTTCCTTGCTTAATATTGTAAACAAAACCATTCGGTTCTAACATAAAATGTGATACATTCTCTAAGAAAACAACGGTGTTATCAGCGTTGTTCCCAGACTGAAAGTCAAAAAACACAGCACTGCACCAGCTACTAAGAAGGAGAAAAAATGACTGATACAGCTGAACCCAGGACAACTACAAAGTATACCACATATGCATATTTATTCCACAAACTGAAAGACACAAGTTTATTATACAAGGGAGGTAGGTCACTCAGGTAAAACGTATTTAGCCATGAACACCCTTCAATCTGTGCCTCTATGGTAAGGGCTAGCTGAAAGCCAAAGAAATAATGTATCAATATGAAAACAGAGTTAAAATACTCTTCATGATCATGTCATTCTAAAAATATCAATCATTAGTTTCAGTATTTAAGAGAGTTACCAGAGGTTATATCTGCTGGTTTTCTCTGGAGCTGACCATGAGTTACAGTTCATATAGCAAAATTATTATGAAATGGAAGACCTACAGAAGGCTGAAATATAAAGGGACATTATTTCCATAAGTTCCAAATCTGTATTGTACTTACTTTCAATGTTCTCTATCAAAATGGATCACTGGACTACACTTCTAATGTTTAATTTGTTTAGAACAAACAGTTTTAGCTATGTCAGATTGTTATCACATTTCATCCTAAGTCTCAAATAGCTAAAACATCCGCAGTTAAAATTCAGAAACTCTTCAGATAAACATGTTGAGTATAAAATCAGTTTCACTACCAGTGGCTCTGTAACACTATAAACAAAAAATGCAGTAAAACCTTACTGCTTAGAATAGTGAAGTATAACAACAGTACAGCAGCAAGACCTGTAGAAAAATGCTGCTGATTCAGCATGCATTTCAGACGCGCATCCCCATTAAAGTATTCTTAAACAAAACACTTCCCAATTGTTATTTTTGTTTTACAAACTTAAATTCCTTTCTTCTTTCCTCCCATATCATTTTCCATCTGACAGACAGGACTTTTCACCTCCTGTTTAATCAACACAGAAGCAAAACTTCTATAATTTACAGCATTACTTTTTCCACCCCTCACCATAGTGAATTCACAGCTGCAGAAAGAAGATTTATTAATTGGTTCTCCTGTGCAGGAGGAAGAATCAGAAAAACATTGTAGGAAATACTATTTAAAAAAGTAACCCTTGTTTAACTTAACAGAAAAAGACATAATATTGAAGTGCAATTCTGAAAGCCTCTTGAAAGACTCTACTGACAAACAGCTGTACTGGAATTACCTATAGGGACATTCAAGGGATGGAGACACTGCAACACTCAGCCTTCCAGACCTTAGGAACTTTGTTAGCAGAACTAAACATTCTAAGTCAGGTGTCAAAATTCCAAAAGCAGGAGCAATCCATTACATCTACATTAGCAAGCACAGAAGGAAGTAAGGCACACAAAGAAATTATTTACAGAGTTCAATTCCTAATACTAATAACCTAATACGCATTTGAATGTGCTTTGTAGGGTTCTGCTTTAAGCTTGTTCTAGCCTTGTGCTGTAGACTGGATGCACACTGGTGACTGGGGCACATCTTCCTATTTAGTTTCATTTGAAGGAATCCACTTCAGCAGTCAGAGGCCATCCCACATTATAAACTTTAACAGCTGCACAGTTAATGCTCAATAGTTCAGTCAAACAGCTGAAATTCAAGAGGGGAGTGAATGTATAAAGCGCTTTATAAAATGAGGGTAAGGATTTATTTAGGGCTGCACTTAAGACATTTTTATGAAACATGGATGCTGACCCTGAAATATTTTTTTCCCCACGTAAGAACTCAGATCTGTGGTCCCCACTCCAAAACTACTTTTATGTTCTATGTTATAAAACCACTAAAAAAAATTCCCAAATAATCTGGGGAAGTAGAATGCAAACACTAAGATCCCTCTTGTTCCAGTTCAGCATCCTAATTAATGAAAATAATGCTGCAAATCCTCGTTTGCTCTCAAGAAAAAAACAAAAGGTCTATTCTGATTACAAACTCGCCAAGTTCTCTCAAGAGGAGTGCTAAAGAACTCCATGGTTTTTGCTCAGACTCTCCTGAAAGGTCTACAAGTTAAAGCACTCAATCTGGACAGGGAGGGAAGCGGGGACAAAACTCACATACATTCAGATCAGCAGGCTTCTCCTAAAGCTTCACCTCCTTGCTTCCAACCATGGTAAAACTAAAGCAAGTCAGTTAAGCACTGTAAATCTAATCCTAATGGATAACAACTGCTTTCTTGGAAGGCTTCCACATCCTCAATTCCCAGTCTTTGGAACACCTTCAGAAAAGCTCCTGTAGGATTGGACCCACAGCTCTATTTCATAACAGATATGCCATATGGTCAACTTTTACAATTAACACTTCTAGGCTACCATTAATTTGACAGTATAGCCTTAAAACAGTAAGTACCTTAGTTTTAGTTAGACTATAATTAATAAAAGACACAGTATACTGAAGGTATCACTAACCATCTTGCGTATTGGAACATTTTAACGAACGGGTCTGCAATAACTTCAAGAGAAGCTGTAGGCTTTTATCTGTTTTCAGTGTTGGTATGTAAGCATTACTGCCAAGTTTCATCAAGACATCCAGAAGAGGGTTCAAGAAAGCCTCTAGTTCAATCCATTCTATGTTGCTTTTTCCACTACACAAAAACAAAAATTAAAAAGAAAGTCTTCTTCTGAGTATCTGCCTTAAGCGCTGAAGTCACTTATGGAAATAAATAGGACACATGTTTCCAAGCCACTTAAGTATCTTTAAAAATGTTACCCAGTATGTTTACAGCAACAGTTGGACAAGGCTAAAAAATAACCAAGCTGACTTAAAGTCTGCAGAGAAAAATGGACAGCTTCCTGACTTCAGCAGGCTTCTACCAGATCCTTCAGGAATGAAGGGGTTCCAAAAGAGAAAAATGTAAAATAAGGTATTTCATACTTACCTGTGCTTATTCCTCATCTGCTCCACGTCTGCAGCCAACAGAATCATTGTTGCGACAAGCTTAGCTTCAAACCAGTCAGGCATAAAGCAATTTTCTCCTGATTAAAGATATTTTAAGGTTTCTACAGTATTTAAAAAATACCTTTATATTAAATTTTAAAACTTTCGGGTTTATAGCTTATTAAAATAAATTAGTAGCACAACAATTAATTCTAGCAAGAATATTAGTAATATTTTGCAATCTTTTATCTAAACTAAACACAAACATACTTGCTTTTCTTCTACACCTCAAAGAGGCTGATATTATTGGCCTCTATGCTGAAATCAGTTTTAGGCTATGTGTTATATTATGTAGTAACATATATTATGTAGTAATACATATTATGTAGTAACGTATATTATATAGTGGCTCCCAAAAGACTTTTCTATTGCTTTTAAAAATACATTAGCATATTCAAATGAAGTTAACCAAGAACGTAATTCCACTATGCTTCATCAGAAACATCAGCTGTGATCTTGACTAGCTAAAAGGCATATGAAGAACTAGAATTATTTTGCCCAAAAGAAATTAAAAAACAAAAAACACTCCAGCTTTTTCAGGCATCTCCAAAAAAGTAAGAAGCCTAATAGGCAACTAGTGCAGCATTAGAATTGAATGTTAAGGCTTAACTTCCAATTAATTGCTGCAGGACTGTATTTTTTACAAAGGAAAACTGGAATTAGAAAATTAATTTCAAACTTAAGTATCATGAATACCACAAATAAGGTAGAATTTGAATAATACAGAATCACAGAATAGCTGTTGTTGGAAGAGACCTTCGAAGGCCATCTAGGCCGAACTGCCCGCAATAAGCAGTTTGTAGGTTGCCAAGAACCCAGCCTGGCCTGAAATGTCTCCACGGATAGGGCATCTACCAGCTCTCTGGGTAAGCTGTTCCAGTATTTTACCACCCTCATTGTGAAGAATTTTTTCCTCATATCCAGCCTGAATCTCCCCTCCTTTAGTTTAAAACCATTACCCAATGGATATAATATAATAATATATAATACCAAAGGTACAATATAAATACACGAGCAACCATTCTAAAATCCTAAGGACTGTTGTAATTTTTTATTTAATATTAATAAACATTTAACTTACTTTCAGACACCGGAGTCTTAAGGTACTCTCCCACAAGACTGCATACATACTGGCACAATGACGGTGTCTCTTGATGCTCAAAATCAGAGGTTACAGACTTTCTGAAGCATCTTTCATTCACTTGCAACCAACTGCAAAGCTAAATTAAAACCAGTAGATTACTACTTAGCCATGTCTGCCAGCTGTGTATTGAAATTACCAACATAACAGCAGCACACAAAAGAATTACCAAACACGAGTTGTTACAACAACAAATCCACACTGTGAAAGGTGTTTAATGGAGCTACCTTGAGGTTTAGCAGACTATTCCCTTCTAATTAACATGGAAAAAGGTTTTTCCAGAGAGTAATTCAGAATGCCCCAAAAGAGATCACTAGTTCCATTATAAGACAAAACTCAGCTAAGCAAAATCCGATTCTGTTTTGCACTTCAATATGCTAAAGCTTAATCTCCTTGCTACTAATCATGGTAAAACTAAAGCAAGTTAAGGACGCTAATACTGCGAAATAATCAGAGAAATACTGCACCCAACAACTGCAATACTGATATGAACTCTACGAAACACAATGAATTGGGGCATATAAACTCTGAAAGAGTTACAAAAAAACAACTCTGCCTCAAGAAACAACATTTTCTTCTGCAGAATTGAGAACTTAAGTGTGAAAAAAGAAAAATTCCTATATTTCTCCTCACCCTAAGCTCACCTAACCTTACCTTCAACCACCTTAGAATTCTTCCACTCTGAATCTGCTTAATAATTTGTTTAAGGTTAACATTAACACCTCTATGGCATTTAAAAAATACATACATGTATGAAAACAAAACAAAACACAGCTTTGAAGTAAAACATAAATCCATCAGGATTCCACATCCAGAAATTCCAGAATGCAAAAAGCAGCTATTTAAATATGAAATTAACAGTAATAAAACATTTAGTTGCTTAGGTATTAAAAAATGTTTGATGAACATAAAACCAGCTTCAGTTCTCACCTCCATCCATAACATAGTATCTCTCCTTAGGGACTCCTCTGGTCTAAGGGACAGAAGAAAGCTTGAAACTTCTGGGAAGGACACTTTCTCCTGAAGAAATTAATCAAGATATATCACTTCCCAACATAATATACAACAGATAACGGCTACGTAATAACTCAAGCAGCTTACTGTCATCTGGCAACAGTTTCAGGAAAAGAAACTTACTTTTTCCTTTCCATGACACAGACTAATTTCTTCCTCTTTGGGACCAACTAATCTTTACCAAGAAACACCATTTAATATTCCCAAGTATTAATATCTATCTCAAAGTTAATGAATGACTAGAAGAATGGAGCTATTCACTGAAGAAACCTTTTAAATGAATGTAAATAAATGAGTAAGAGTCACTGATAAGTACTATTTATGTATTTCCAAAAGTAAATTCTCAACTCAGCCAAGTTTATAACCGTAATACATTACATGCAAGGCTGTCTACTCATCTAAAACACAAGTATGTTCTAGAACAAGCAAAACATGAATACTTTCATTACTCCATAACTAAGGTCTTGCTTATTATGAATTCCAGTATTATGAATACTTCCTGTTAGAACCTGAGTTTAAACAGTGGATACCATAATAGAATACTATTCCACAACTAATGCATGAAAACCCTAGAAGGAAACATCAACTAATAAAAGGTAATGGGAATAACAAAAAAAAAAAATCCTCTTAACTCACACAGCACAATATTCAAATAGTCACTAATAAAAAAAAATTACAAATCCAACCAAATCAGTGGTTCCATGTTGTATTTAGCCATTATTATGTTTACCCCATAAAAGTGTCAGTGTATTTCTATTACACCAGGAAGAAAAAAACAACCAAACAAAACCAAAACAAAACTCACCACATCTGTCAAATGCATAGCTGTTTGAAGAAGATAGCACTGTGCAGCTCCACGCAACAAAATCTGATGCGTAATCATAGTGCACTGGAGGACATCTCTGGAAAGAAGAAAAACGTGCACTGTAGAAAACACACACTTGGGATGTTGAAACATTTTCATGTATATGATAATTATTAATGATTTTCAAGATATTAGATTGTACTTAAAAAACATATTCTAGAACATATTACACAAACATTGCCTGATCAAACAGTATACAATCCAGAACCAAGATTCTATTGCCGTATGTCCTTTAAAAAACTGATACTAGAACTTGGATAAGCATATACCTGACAAATTTAAAACAGGGGTGGGAGGGGGACAGACGAGAATAAAGCTAAAACTAAAGGAACAATCCGCACGATCACTTCAAACTGAATGTTATGTTTGCATTTCCATCTGGACGTTTTTACCTCAAAGCATGAAGTCCTTCAGTACCCAGTACTTTACACTCAGGGATATATGCCAGCGCCATAGAAAGAAACAAAATAGGAACAGCACACCAATGCCTACTTGTCATCTTCTGAATAAATTTTAACAGGAAGCTACCTTAAAAGAAAACAAAACAAACAATCTGGAGTGATTTCTTGTTCTCCAATGCATTTAAATAACATGAGCCCCAGCAGAAGAGTGTTATGGTCATTACTGAAAATTAAATGCAAACCAATAGAATAGTATCCTATTTATTTCAATTAGGAAGGTATATTCCAATGTCAATATCACCCTACTGTCAGTAGTGTGATAAGGATATAACCTTAACTCTAATTTTGGCTTTGGTGATCTGCACGGATCACCATATTCAGTAACAGAATTCTGAGTACTAGACAATACCTAGTAGACTTAGTAACAGTCTGGGTGATGGCAGAGCAAAGTACACAACGATTCAACCAGTATGACCAAAGCAAGCCTCCACAACAAGCTGAAGCAAAAAAACAACCCAACACACCAAGACCCGTAAAAAAAACCCTAAAAAAAGAACAGTTCTAAAGATCTTGCTCACCACAGTATTATGTTCACTGACAAATTAACAAAAAAGAATCTTCAAATACTGTTCACCTTCAGAACTAAGGAGTTTATTTTTAATAAAATAAGCAAGTCTGCTTCAGTTTGCCCCAGCAGCACCCCTCGAAGCCTCTGAAGACTCCTCTCTTCTCTGGAAACTCCACTGCCAAAAGAACTACTCTTTTTTTCTCTTAAGTAATGTATAAAAACAGTGGTAAATGTTTACATGAGATATTGAAAATGAGTTTTTATTTGGTTTCTTTATTTAAAAATAAAGGTAAAACTGAAATATACCTTTTTCTTCCCCTGGAAGAAGCATGATGTAAGTAGCCAAAAACTTCTGCAGCCTCGTTCCCAGAGGAGGACAGGCGCCCATTAACTGACCTGGTGTCCTGTTGGGTTTGGAACATCAGATACACAATTGGCATGTTTACAGCTACAAGTAGGATTGTCCCTACACAAAAACGAAGTGCAGTTCATTGCTGGAGACTGCTCCAACAAGCCAAAGAGATGGGAGTGGATCAGCTTGCACCTTCCACTTATCCCCGTATTCCAACAGCACCCAGCAAACACACAGAGGACACACCATAACTCTCCCTGGCCACCTACGTGGACATGGTGGTAACACACGGCAGCATTCAAGTGCAGGCTCAAGTCAGGTTAGGTTATGCAGGACTCAGAGCATCTTGCATTGAGCCCACAGTAGGAGATGGCACTGTCAGTTCAACCCTGTGCCTGCACTCACAGAATGACATGAGCATCCACGAAGCAGGCTGCCAAGGCCCACAGGACGTCAGTGGTATGCAGCAAGAATGTGAGTGGTTTGATTTGGAGAACAGCTAAGACAAATTACCTACTCAAGTGTGCTAGTGAGCAAGATTACAAAGTCAGTATATAGAAAACTACCAACCAGCACAGAAGGTTTTAACAAGCAAGTAACGCTCTGTGAGACCAACAGAGACAATCTGTGTCTCATGAGAAGTGTCGGGCTATCAATGATTAGCATCAGTCGTAAGATTTTACAGTTTTCTCTCATACAGTTTGACATTAACCATAACAACTTTGTCTATTCTTGGTATACTCAAACATGCACCCTCCTCTACATATGCCAACTTGTGTCACCAGAAATACAGAAGCTAAGAGAGCAGACTATGAAGCACTGATCCAGCACAGCTCTAACAGTGCATAAAGAGACAGTATAAACTTTTCTAGATGCCTAACAAGGCCAGCTAGTCAAGGTCCCTCCAACATCATTCTGAACTGAGTTTCAGATTGCTAGCTGAATCACTCAAGCCATGGCATCTGGCATAATGCTGAGTGTGAAGTGCAGTCAGCACTTAATTCCCCATTCACAGTACTCTCCATGCAGTTAGCACAAAGGACTGAATGCCATCAGTACTCTGCACATACAACTTGCAACTCCTCAAACTTTTATCTGTTCTTTATGTATTTACACCAAGGGAGGCCACTTGTCATCTGTCAACTGCAAATAGTCTCCTGTAAAAAAGTATTAATTTCCCAAAAGATAATCAGGCCCTGACAGCAACCCACTTCAATCAGTCATGAATTGGCAACAATTAGAGCAGCCCCTTCTTTCACTGCGGCAAGAAAATCAGAAGATCAAAAATACTTCACTGTTATTCATTTATCCTATCTCACTTCATTTCCAAATTAGTATCTTGACAGAAGGTATGACACAGGTCCTTAAGGGATCCCCATGCTGCTATTAAAAGGATTAAATTGAACCTACTTCACCTCACTCACAGCCACCCACCCTTCCTGAAAAACTCTTTACCTGTCAGTAAATGCAGCAACACCATTTGTTTACCCAAATTTGATGCACATACTTAAAACAGCAACATTAGAATACATTTCCAATAATCAATACATTAAAAAAAAAACCTAAATGAAAATCAGTGTCTTACCTGCTATAGAGGGAACTTTCGGAGAGGGCATCCATTAACGGTCCAATAACAAACTGGTAAGAGGAAACGAGAACAATGGCTAAATGCACACTTGCAAGGCACCATTACACAGAGGATAACTAGACTTATTTCACTAGATTTTAAAAGGACACAGTCCTTTTAGTGAAAATGGAGAATTCTCTTGCTAGTAATATCAGCAGCAAAAAGAAGAAGAAACTAAAGAGAAAGAGTAGCAGGAGAATCACAGAATGGTTTGGGTTGGACAGGACTTAGCGATCTAGTTCCAATCCCCTGCTATGGGCAGGACCACTTTTCACTGGACCAGGTGTCAAGTGGTGAATAAACAAGCAAAGCAATTTTTCCACTACGTACATTGCACAGAGGATTGTGAAAGGTGCAGATGAGTAAGAAAAACTTTTGGGAAACAGATGCAGAAAAAATATTTAAGCATTAAGTGAGAGGCAAGGGCAAACACAAGTAGAAAGATTTAGGATGTGATTTAAGGTTGACTAGATTTCAAGTTAGTCATGAAGAGGCTGACTTTATTTGTATAAATCAGAAATGTTACGCTCTGAGAGTAACACTCCTTCCATGAAGGAGAAAAGGAAGAAGTAATAATATAGTAGAGACCATTCCTCACTAAGGTGTAGGCTTACTAATTAAAAAAAAAAAAAATTAATAATTTTAAATTCAGAGTATTTCTTCCCACATACAGAATATTTTAAAGTGTGTTTTTTAACGCGATACAGCAACATGTTCATCAGTGTATTACTGATTATACATTCACCTCCTCACAGGGTTACCTAGCAATGGATTTTCAAAATTCATCCCTGAATAGGAGACAATGGAGACAATATATACAGACTTGAAGTCTATTGACCATGTTTATCCAAGACTGTTCAATCAAATAACATTAATAATTTTTGAGAAGTTCAGGGGCTCTGAAAACCTGAAGCATCCATCACCCCTCAATTTCACTTCTGGTAAAAAAATCACAATAAACTGGGAGCCAACTTTAATTAGCATTAGTTTGAAATATGGGAATGAATGGCTGCACTCAAAACCACACTCCCTCTAGCCTGGCCGTATTTGACACCACTTACAAATATTGCTATCACTTGCACAGCTAAATAAGAGGGCATTTTTACAGAATGTGTCTAACTCCAACACTACTGAGGCAATTAGTGTTAAGATATATCACAGATTAGAACATTTGTTTGTTCTGGCAAGTAACAGTTAACAGCCTTACCTCTGAAAAACCAAGTGAATTGGGAAGACGCTTTGTTTCATAAAGCTCCAGAAAATGAAGAATGCCCTCCTTTGTCAGTGTTTTATTCTCACTCTCAAACATTCGTTTATAAATGCACATGTGCCATGATGGGTGAAACAACCAACAACCTGTTACAAAAGCACATTTTTCTAAACTGATACAGAAATGACACTGAGACATTAACATTCTAAGCAAAACATCGTTGAAAAGGACTACTGAGTTGGGTCTGCTGATCAAAAAAGGTATTTCAAGATCATACAGTAAGCAACAGGCATATGCTAGGACTTCTGCTTGGAGCAGTACCACTTGGAGTGGTACTGCCCATGCACATTTGTCAAGCAACCTATGCATGTAGCAGGCTCACAAAAACTGGAATAGCCACCATTAATTTGAGAAACAAAACATAACAAAAAATTGTGATTTAAAACAGTAGATTAATAAAAAATATATATATATATAAGTGCGACTTAACTGCTTAACAGTTAGGAGATGGTTCAGGAAACATTGCATCTTACCTCCTTCCCCTGATATAGCATGCTCAAACAAACTGTTTAGTTTTGGTAATACCGGCTTTATGACATGGATCTGAAATGCAAATCAGATGTAATGTAAGTAGTTAGTTTATATCTCAAACTTAGGAACCGGCACTTACTCATGGGCTAGAATTTACTATCATCAGTAATCATCAGTATTGATATAGTAATTGACAATGTAACTGCATTTAAACAAACCTACAGTGCCTGTGCAGCTGATCCTGGCACTTGGTATGTAACAATCATAGTCTAGCGCTGAAGAAAAACTGGCACTTCCATGCTACTCTATCATAAGAACAATACTTGCTATTAACTGATCATTCTATTCATCAAAATTATAATAAAGCAGCAGAAGTCTCCAAAATTAAACATTTGGGTAAATATTATTTCTCTCAGTTACAGGACACTTGTATACAAATAAAATAACTACAAGGAGGTACACAACCAACAGTTACCACCACAATATGATACGATCACGGAAGTCTCAAGTCAACAGGAATCTTTCTGCCAAGTACCCTGGACACTCAGAATCACTTTCACCCAAGGCCACAAGTGCTTTACCATACAGACGTAGTCCCTCCTACTGAAAAGAGGTCCGTAACTGCAACAGCCTGATTTCACTAGGAAACAGGTTACCCATGGTCTTGCAATAAGCTGTGATGCAGGCTTTTCTTTCTTAGTTTAATTCAAAGATAGAAGAGAGTTCTGAATTTTTTCTAAATGAATTACACGTTCCGTGTTTTAAATACTCAAAATTCGAAATAAGAATATTCCTGTTAATGCTTATTCAGATAACCTCAATCACCTGAAACGGGAGCGCTCTGTGCAATAAAACATCTACAGCCATCGTTGCAGAAGGCATCACACATAACCAGGCTGAGTCTGGATTTTACAGCGCTCCTACCTGGTTTCCTTCCAAAGTTTCCATTATTAAGATATAAGTTTCCCAAAACTGTAGGAGCTTCTCATTCTCCTCAGCAGACCACCAGAACAGGCTCGATTCTAACAAGAGGAAGAAAACAAAGAAAGAACAAGGTTACCCCTGCCACGCAGCCCGGGTCTATCCGCACTCCCTCTCCCCGCTCCTCGCCCGGCCGTACCGTC